AGGCTCCAAATGAATGCTGATGCCTCTTGCAATTTTAGTTCATTCACTTTCATTTTGGCATCCTTCATAGCCTGCTTACCCACAATCCAACTTTTTTTGTTTCAGGCCGAGGCTCTGCATTATACATACGGTGTAGAGCAACTGAAACATCTTGTGAAACAAAATCTGTCACATTTACTGTATCTCCTACAGTATGAGAGGCTGTAGCACCAACCACACCAGACTACTGACAACTGCCACCAATAATGATTTCAGGCATTGGTTAGGAGGTAGGACAATGTGTATTTCCAGCCTTACTTAAATACCACTTTGGTGTGCCAGCATGCTAAAAACATCCACTCCAAACTCTAATTTGAGGGGTAATGTGCAGATGTACAAGGTTATTTGAATTATGCAAGGGCGTATGTTCAAGGGAGGAGGAAAAAAAAAAGAAACATTCCCTTGATCTCGCTTGGGTGGGCCTCTATTGCCGCCCTGCCTTTAAAATCATGAGTGTGCCTTCCTTCTATAAAAAGCATGGGTTTGTATTCGCTGTGTATACTTACTTAGGGGTAAGTATGGGAGAGCAGCAGGAGCCCAAATGTAAATTAGTGGGCTCACTAGAGTTCACCACCACAACAAACCGAGTCGCAGGACCTTTGAAATGTTCAAATCATATCATGTATTGTAGGTTTTAGGGCCAATCTGTGGACTGCTGAGGGCAGTGAAGGAGACATGATGAGGATTTATGACTTCAGTTCATGCGGCTGAGCACAACCTGAGGCCTAATTCTGTGATTTGGTCAAAACCTCCAATACATTTACAGAGATATACCGCGAGCACGCTGCACTGCATTAATATAAAACTCCTGGAAATCCCAGAGGATCAAATACTTTATAGTGCGAGCGACAGAAGGCACATGATGGCTTTATTTGAGCACCATGCTCACGGACCGTCTCAGAGCTCACATGTGTCTCAACATCTGTCTGCAGCATCTGGACACTCTCTTGAAAGAGGCTGGGACTTTTCATAAATATGTATATTTATCTGAGTTATGAAACATCACCTGCAGTGATGTGGTGGTCGGTGTCAGAATGACGCGGTGTAAAAACAGTGAGGTGTAGACGCCGGCTGTGCCACTCTTAAGCCACGCTGCGGATTTACGCAGGTCCTGTTTCCTGGTCTTTTCTTAGAGGTCACACCATTCCTACTATTTCCGGACATTACTCACATGGTCACTGCTGAGTGTGAAAGACAGGTATTACTGTGAATTAGTTCACTTTCATCACTCCGTTAACAGTGAGTTTCCCGTCATGTGACAACAAGGAATGAGGACAGGAACTCGATGGACAGTGTCTGGAGGAGGATGTAAGAGCAAATTTGTATAGTAGACCAGCAATAGTCTTATTTTTTAGAGACTATAATTTATCTTTGTTGAGACTCTGACAGAGAGGAGTTGACATTTTTGGTTTGTTTTTGAGCCTACAGTTTGTTGTATTGTTGTAGTTGTTTGTATTATAATAAGAGATGATGTATGTACTATATTTATGTCCAAATTGAGGCCACTACACTCAGTGGACATTTAGCATTGAAGCATGCAATATTAACGCTTTCCCAACCTAAAAATAAATCCAGTAATGTTATGATAGAAAAAAGTAAAACTAGTTTTCTAAACATTAAAACAAAATTAAGTAATGTCACTAGACTGCGGAGAATCTACTTATGCTATTTAAACCCTGATGAGTGATTATGAAGCTCTTCAGGTGACGGTTTATACTCACTGATATAGAAGGTCCCTGGTGCCTGCTGGCCTTCAAACTGAAGTATGAGGAGGTTGCTGGTTTGACTGTCATGGCGGAGCCACAGGGCCACTCCTAAGATCACACCTCCGGCCAGCTGAGAGAAAAGAAAAGAAAAGAAAAAAGGTTTTAGTTATTTTCTTTCATCATTTTTCTTTACTTTGGTGAAACCTCGGGAGGATCAGAGTCATTTCAAATGTCTGATATTCAAGAGAGATGTTAGCATGAATATTAAAACAAACCTGCAGGTTATCAATTTTTGAGATTTTTTATATATATGATGGCGACACAGAGCCATGAGATCAGGGGACGGCACAAAGCTTAACTCCCCTAAGATCAAATCAGTGTCCACCTTTCTGCGAGTGTTTCTGCGTGCGTGTCCTGCTCCGCTGTGAGGTTGTGAACTGTCCGCTGTCCTTTAAGAGAAGTGATGAAAGGATATCCTGACACCTCAGTGACCTATGGCACAGACCATGTCCTCACAACATTGTTTCAAGAACTCTATTGTTCAACTTTATCCCCCTTGCTCTCTCCTCTGTTCTGATTCTGATCAATCATAAATATCCTGATCATATTAAAGCTAAAGGAGCATAACTAGTAAAAGGATCAGACCAGATCAATGTTGTTCAAATGCTTACGCTCCTTTTCTTCCTACCAATGTTTATATCAAGATATCTGCACATGGGCTGCACTCCATTGTTCTCCAAGAAACAGGAAACAAAATCTTCAACATGAAAAATAGAAAAATGGAGGAAGAGAGGGCTCACAATGACAGGCACAGCAGCAAAACCAACAAAGGAAATACTCCATCAACTGTGGCGTGTCCAGGATATGATGATTTTGTGCTTATCTAAAAAAAGATGACTGCTCTGTACGGACAAACCGAAAGGAAATTCACAAACAAGTCACTAATTCTGACTGTGTAAGGCCACAAGTGGGCACATAAAGTGGATGGGCACATCAGCAGGAAGTGTGATGTGATGTGATGAAGTGTAGAGGCAGACAGCTGCATTAAGCTACTGAACTACGGTGTTAAGTCCATTGTTACTGGAATTCAGAAAACAAGACGGACTCGAGGAGAGTTCAGTTTGAAGGGTGGATGTAAAATGACTGAATAATAAAAACTGCGACATCTGCTGAGGTGTTTCCTGAGCTCTTTAAAGGTTCAAAGGCAGCTACAAAGGAAATGTCACGGGGAAACAGCTCTCCCCTCCCCCAGAAACTCCATTAATCCTGTTCTATGTGAGAAATCAGAAAGCATCTAATTAAGTTTCCCCATTCAAAACAACTTCAGAAATCAGACCTTCATTTCTAGAGTGTTTCTTAAATATGAACATGAGTTAATTTGATTAAAAACTGGAGCAGAGTTAATGTGAGACATGCTGGAGGAGGGAAAAACAGTTTTATCCCAGTGGGAAGACTGAGGAGACCCAGTCTCTCCTTCTCTTTCAGCCACCTTGCTCTGGTGCTCGGCCATGCAGAAAATAACTGTTGATGAGGGATAAGAGCATTTCAACTACTGTACTGTGCCTCCTCTACTGATGCTGATCTTCTCTCTAAGACACAGCATAACCATAATTAACACAGCAGGGCTGTGACTCTGCGCGTCTCCTCCAGGATTGATCATTTGATCAGCTATAATCCCACACAGATGTTTAAACTGGGCCACTTAATCAAACAAATAAGAAAGTTTTAAAGAAAGAAGTACTCAAACATCAAAGAAGAAAACAATTCAGAAAAGTAACTAAAGAGTAAAATAAGTTCAACTCACCCAGAAAATAAAATTAAAGAAAAATAACATATATTTAATGCATTTGGTGCAGCCTGCCACAGCCATGTTGCCAGGTTTTTTTTTTTATCAGCTCGTCCTTTTGCCCAAATCAAACAGTCAGTGTGGCCAGTCTCACTGTCCCGGATCAGTCTCTGCCAGAGGACTCAGTTTATTCAGTCTAGTTGGGGTGTAAGCGCCTCTATGCTGCAAACTCCTCCTTTATAATCAAGAGTGAAAACCGAGACGAAGAACTGCCCACCAACTGAAGCGGACAGGAGAAGAAGGGGGCTGAGGGAACAACAAGCTCTCCTTCCGCAAGAGTGAACAGGGAGCCCTACTTTGTTCCCCTGCAAGTTTTAAACTGTGTTATGGTTAGATGAAATGTAGGGCAACCTCGGGGGCCCTCGGGAGAAAAAAGAAAGAAAAGAATCACAAAATCTTCATTATTTTTTTTAATAATAAAAGTCTATCATGGTATATGTCTGCATGTAGGCCTACAACATTTGGCATAAATGTGTAAAATAAGATACTTAAATGTTAAGAAATCTTTCATTCTGGATCCGCACCAAAAACTAAAAACGTATTCTTTAAGATTTATGGTTTTAATTTTCCACTCTTTTAACCTGTTGACATGTTTGTCCAGATCTCACGTTAATTAACCTGCTTTGCAGCGAGCAATGGCGCCATCTGCCGGCACATTAAACACAGGTGGAGGCTAATTATTACTACACACATCAAGTGCAGCACAAAGAGTTGCGCAAAAACAACAACAACAACAAAAAAAAACATATAATCCTCCCAACTCTTCTCTTTAAATGATCTAAATGTCATAAACACACACAGATCCCCAACAAGTGCGGCTGCAGTCTGAATCCCTAACATCCGTAAATCACGGAGCAGTATGAGAAGATATATGATCACACTCTTCCTGATGTTATGGGCGGATCTGCGCGTTCATGGCTCCAGGGTCACACCATCTCCAAACAGCTGTGCGTGGAGACAATGAGTCCCCGCTGACCGATCACAAACCCTCCTGAGCGACGACGTTAAGTGGGAAGAGAGGAGAAGAAAAACTGGGAGGCGATGACAATTTGGACAGCCTTAATTGGAGATCTTGACAGCGCGTTATAACAAACGCAGGGTCCTCCACTGGGCATGCTCCATCTGGTGTGAGAGAAGAGCTGGGCACGGTGTGAATAACAGGCAGTTTGGGCGTTTTTTTGTGTGTGTGTGTGTGTGTGTGGAGGTTTTGTCGCCCTCTCATCTCTGATTCTTACATTTTTTAAATTGGTTTTAACCACGCAGCAGCAGAAAACAGCTTTAGATTGACTGTGGATTGTCTCCTCTCAACAATGCATGAATGAAAGGGGAAGTCCTTGAGCAGGAGAGCGCATCTCTGCCGAGACAAAAGACCTGCTGTACGGTGGCGGTGAGTCGTTAAACGCAGAGGAAGAGAGAGAGAGAGAGAGAGAGAGAGAGAGAGAGAGAAGGAGCGGGCTGAGCGTCGGTGTGAAGGAGGTGAGTCTGCAGGCAGCAACAGAGGAGGGAGAGAGAACCGCGTCTCTAAGCAGGAGCTGCCCCGACAGGCGCTGTCCGCTCAGCACCACCGCAGTCACCTTGCTGTGAAAGTCATAAACCAGTGCTCGGGAGTGATCTGATCAATCACCGCAACTTGAGGGGTTGAGTCCAATGAGCTGGGTTTCTTCGGCGGGCGAGGGGGGGGGCGATTTCGCCAGCGTTGGTCCTTTTATCTCGACATCTTGGATTTACCGACGATGTGACGTCCATTCTTGATGTGATGCCATTGGCTGCAATCGTTTTTTTGGGGGGGATTCAGTGAGTCTGGCAGCTAATAACGCGTTTAATGATCCTCCAGTTGCATGGCAGGTGCGTGTAGAAAATACAGGGGTTTCTAGAGAGAGAGGGAGAGAGAGAGAGGGAGAGAGGGATGTAGCTTGACGCGTGTGGAGCATTTCTTTTCATAGTTGGTGAGAAACGACAGGTTGCTGTGCGCTCTGCCTGCCTTATATAATTGTTTCCTTCAGTCTAATCACTGCTGTGCATGGCCGCACGGTGCGCCTAGACTTAACTTTGCGATGAAGGGAACTTATTGGAGAAATGCCTAGGGGACGCAATGGGCCTGAGCGACGACAAGGATCGCATTGTGATAAACGTGGGAGGGATCAGACATCAGACATACCGCAGCACCCTGCGCACTCTACCTGGCACTCGCTTGTCCTGGTTGGCCGAGCCTGATGCACCCAACCACTTTGACTATGATGCCAAGATCGAGGAATTTTTCTTCGACCGCCACCCTGGCGTTTTTGCACACATCCTTAATTACTACAGGACAGGTAAACTGCACTGCCCGGCTGATGTCTGCGGGCCCCTCTATGAGGAGGAACTGGCCTTCTGGGGCATTGATGAGACAGACGTGGAGCCATGCTGCTGGATGACCTATCGTCAGCACCGGGAGGCAGAGGAGGCCCTTGATAGTTTCGGCGGGGGGGGCCTGTTAGACCTGACGACCGATGATCCGGAGCCAGAGCCGGAGCATGCTGAGGATGATGTGGATGAGATGACAAGGAGGCTGGCGCAGGGAGACTGTCCTGATGCCAGAAGTGGAAGCCTGTGGAGCCGGTGGCAGAAATATGTTTGGGCTCTGTTTGAGGACCCTTACTCCTCTAAATATGCAAGGGTGAGTTGTTTTTAAGCCACGGCTTTGTTCTTCCTACTCAACTTAAGATTTGCAGCCACATTCAGAGCTTGAAAAATACTCTAAAATGTCTCACTGCTGATTTGAAACAGTCAAAGCTGCATGAACAGGAATTAAGTTGTGAATGTTTCTTCTTCCTTTGTGCTTTGATGGTGAGACCAAGATTGATGGGTTCAGAGAGGCTTTTGATGACCTTGAAATTGCTCTCCCATGGGTCTCCACAGCAGGGATGTGATTGTACAGAGAAAAGAGGGAGGAAAAAATCAACCAAAGACCTCATCTGTCAAATCTTTTAAATGCAAATCATCTCTCCCACCCTCCTCCTCCTCTGTCTCACAGGAGAAGATAAACAAACTCTTTGTGACTCTAACAGGTCTTTGGATTGATATTTCCAGGACATGGGGATCCCTGGACAGGCTGCCTCTTTGGTTAAATAGGTCAGCTACACTTTAGGAAACCAGATCTTTGGCACCACTAGAAGTTTAGTGGCAGACCTCCAGAAAAAAACGAGGTTGCAGTTAGAAGTGACATTTTTGGTCTTTGTTGTGGGCACTTTTCCATCTGGGCGCATTGCCTCTCGATGGTGACAATGAAATGACTTTACACCTTCGGATTTTCTGACCACTGCCCCCTACAAAGGCCGCTGTGCCGCACGCTGCTTTAACAGCTGTAGCAGACTGGCGTAATTAGTTATTAGGCCCCATCCAAGAAGTGTAAACTGTATTGACATGTTCTCACTCTTACAGCAAGCCTTAGTGAAAGTGGTCTAACCAAACACACACACACACACACACACACACTTCTTTCAAATTTCGGCATGGATGGAAATTTCCCAAAGCAGAAAACTCCTCTGATGTGTCCTACATTTATCAGTGAGCAAGACAAAACAGAGAGCAAAGATTGACAGAGCTCCACCAAGACTGGCAAGAAGATTAATTAGAACTGAGCCTCAGAGTTAATTACAGCCTCTATTCACAGTGGATACATCAGTGGAAAAACCCTTGTCACTGCATATCACTGTAGGTCTGTGGTTTGCCAGCAACAGTGAGAAATAGCCAATAAGGAGCAAACAGTCTTCGCCTGTCACCCTCCCTCCAGGCCACACTGTTCCTAACTGTCACAAAGACACATAATTTAGTGTAAGAGGCGGTCTGATAAGATGCAGCGTTTGTTTAACAGTTTGAAGGGTGGGATGTTCAGAAGGGCTCAGTGAGCCAGTGTGTCAGGAGGCGTCATGAAAGTAGCAAAATAACAAGAGCTCCCATCAATTAGGGCTGCAACTAGGGATCTATTTCATCACAATTATTCCCTTGATTAATTGAATTGAAAAATACATTTTGCCAGAAAATTGTGTAAAACGCCCATTATGACTTTCTAAAACCCAAGTTGTCATATTCAAACTGTCTGACTGTCTACAACCCAAATAGATTCAGTTAACATTGAAAGATCAGCAATAATTCCCATTTTAGAAGTGAGAGGCAGTTCATTTGGGGATATTTTTGCTAAAAGAAAAAAAGACTTATTAGATGATCAGAATTGTTGCTGATTAATTTTCTGATTGATTAATTGGTTTTACTGCAAATAAATATATAATATCTGTTATCTTACTGCAAGGGCAGTTGTCCACTTTGCCTATTTGGTAATCCAGCCTTTGCTGCTTATTCCAATCTGTTACTTTATATAACTATAACTCTATAACTTTTTATATGTATATGTATATGTATATGTGTGTGTGTGTATATATATATATATATATAATTGGATTGTATTATATTCTAGGGTGTTATTTTGTACAGTACATACTGTAGAGGGGGTGGACAAAACAATATTATGCAATCCAATACAACAACACCACATGCGCTGTACTACTAAAGCCTCAGAAATTGACAGTCTCACAAATAAAAGCTGAGCATTGTTAGTCTTTTTAGCAAGAGCATTACGATGTCAAGTGCTCTTTTTTTCCTCACTATTTGAATGTTTATTTTACATTTTATACTGAATTTAAAGAGAACCATTTACATGCTATATGAAAGTGTGTAAACTGCGATGATTCCCTCTTTGTTCAGCGTGAGTTGACAGCCCTGCTGACAGATCAGAAGTCGGTGTGCTGTACTGTCATCTCTGCTAATACACAGTTTCCCTCCAGACCATCATACTAACATGGATGGGAAGCAGACATTCATAAGCAGCAGTGATTTCCTCAGTACAATGCGATGAATTGTCAGTGATGAGATGATATGATGAGGGCCTGTTTTCCATCTCGCACTGCATGCCTGCCTGCCTTGGTGACACACTGTGAATGGACCTGACTGAGACGCTGTGTTTCCTTTGCTCAGTGGAATATATGTAAGACTTCCTCCTGCCCAGACATGCCCTGCTCCAACCAACCACATCCCTGATACCATTCACTACTCCTCCCAGCTGCTTAGCAGTGCTGTACATTAGTTTGAGAAGCACTACAGAGCCTCGCTCACTCCCGTAAAGACATCTTCATGCATGAACACACTGCTATTGATCCAACTTTTGTGACTCATAGGATGATTAAGTAGCTAGCCACTCTTCCCGTCTGCCTCTTAGTCCACCATCTCTGATCTATTGACTTCAGATTCTCATTGAAGATACAGCTGTTTTTCCCATTCAAACTACGGTATAGTGCAAGAGCTGTAACACACTGTAAACCAGTACAGTATGATCAGAGGAGGCCAGGGTTGCAATCAATACCCAGGAGAGAATACTGTATCTATTTCACCCATATCAGAGCCTAAATGTGGTGAAATCTAATCAATACATAATGAAGGCTAAAGTACACTTTTGCCACTAAGGGAAATATAGATTTCTGTATACGCCTCAACAAGTCTCTCAGGTCACTACAATTCCCAAGAGCTGATCATCTGGACAGTGTGACCTTGTGTAGGGAAAGACCTACTGTAGTGATGGTGCTGAAGGGAAGAGCCCCGGCTAAATTTAGTCGTGGGGTTGACACTAATGTCCTGTCTGCGGTTGCTCCTCCTCGCCCTTTGTAACTCTGCATGTAGCATACCCTTGAAAATGCCATGACCTTGAGATACAGCAGAGGGGAGAGAAGCGAGAACGGCAAGCTTGCATTGATTGTCCCTTTTACAATGACACTTCTGAATCAAGACACACAGAGAGCAGAGAGAGAGGGGGAGAAAGGGCGGAGTGAGAGAGTGTTTCAGTGCCACTGTAACTGTCAAAGCAGATGCCACTGTCTCAGATAATAGATTGAATTGCATTGTGTCGTGCTAAGAATTGCTGCTGGGGCGTCAAGCTTGATTACATTGCATTAATTACTGTGCCCATTGTCCTCTCCATCCTTCTTCCTCCTCCCCACCTCCTCTATCTCCCATATATCTCTTTTTCTGCACCCTATACTGTATATATTCCCTGCTCAGTGGGTGGCTCTGGCCTCGCTGTTCTTTATTCTGGTGTCCATCACCACCTTCTGTCTGGAGACCCACGAGGCCTTCAACCCCATCATCAACCGCACTGAGCTGGAGGTGGTGGACAACGTCACAGTGGAGCACACCTACCAGGAGACTGAGACTGCGCTCTACCTCACCTACATTGAAGGCGTTTGTGTGGTGTGGTTCACTTTTGAATTTTTAATGCGAATAACTTTCTGCCCGAATAAATTTGACTTCATTCGGAACGCCCTAAACATCATCGACTTTGTGGCCATACTGCCCTTCTACCTGGAGGTGGGCCTCAGCGGGCTCTCTTCCAAGGCAGCTAAGGACGTGCTGGGTTTCCTGAGAGTTGTCCGCTTTGTCCGGATCCTGCGTATCTTCAAGCTGACCCGTCACTTCGTGGGACTGAGGGTGCTGGGCCACACGTTGAGGGCCAGCACCAACGAGTTCCTGCTCCTCATCATCTTCCTCGCTCTCGGTGTCCTCATCTTTGCTACTATGATCTACTACGCTGAACGGATTGGAGCTAACCCCAACGACCCTCGAGCCAGCGATCACACGCACTTCAAGAACATCCCGATCGGATTCTGGTGGGCCGTGGTGACCATGACGACCCTCGGATATGGAGACATGTACCCTCAGACGACCTCCGGTATGCTGGTTGGAGCTCTGTGCGCCCTGGCAGGTGTGCTGACCATCGCCATGCCCGTCCCTGTGATTGTCAACAACTTTGGAATGTATTACTCACTGGCGATGGCAAAGCAGAAACTACCAAAGAAAAAAAATAGGCATATCCCTCGGGCACCCCAACCAGGTTCGCCAAACTTCTGTAAGTCAAGCATCAGCTCCCAACCTCAGAGCCCCATCGCCCATGACGACGTTTTCGAGATAAAATTTCAAGGTAAGAAACAAAGACGATATATACATTCTGATGAATTGTTGTCTAATCACTTCTCTGTCCACCTGAAGCAGCTGTTTCACAATTCAGCTGTTTCATTGTTTATCTGTTCCCACACTTCAATCAGCTGAGGATTCAGGCATGAGATTAAACAAATGAGTTTCCCACCGAAAACAATCAATAAAATATTTGATGAAAAGCATATTTTACTCCGGCTAGGAGAATAGAGAGAGTGTGAGTAATCCTATTGATTTTGCACTTCTTAATGCAGTGATTCACTCCTCCTCTCTCTTAAGACTAACTGGGAGTCAGTAATCATCATGCATTTGTAATGCTAAGAACATGCGAGTAGACGCCGGAGTCACTTGATCTCCTCTTGAATTCCTCTGGTAGCATTGGTGCAAAGATTTATTGACCTGCGATACAGTTTGAGCTCAAAACAAATAACACAACAGAGTGCAAGGCAAACAATATTACTGTACAAGTTAATTCCTGTGTGCAAAACTGAAGATATATAAAAAAAAAAGAAGTAACATCCTGAAAAAAGCTGGTATATGAAACCAGATTGTTTTCTGTTTTCTTTTGTTTTCTTTATTGTTTTCTTGTAAGATTCCAAGCTGAACGGTGAGGCAGCTAATGCGGCTCTGGCCAACGAAGATTGCCCTCATATAGACCAGGCCATATCTCCGGAGGAAATCTTCAGCCCCAGCGAGAGAGAGCGGCCCTGCTTCCTGGTTACCACTGCTGAACGCCCCAACCACACAGGGGGCAGAGTGAGGAGGGGTACGTACAGTAACAGCCAATCACAGGCCCCTGTGAGACACTGACACCCCGTAGACCATAGACAGGACACGCTCTTTTTTTCCCTCTTTGCTGAGTGTTACACCTCAGTTTTTCACATGCACACACACACACACACACACAAACAACTACAAACCTCTTACTACAACCTTCACACACTTTCACAGCAGCTGCTTTTCCTCAATCATCCCTTTGGGAATTGTATATATTCCAGATCACAACAACATCTGTTCAGGCCAAGCACAATCACCACAAATATCAATAATTGTCCACATCTACATAATATATTTTTTGATACCATGCATAATGTAAAACCCTTATTTATTTACAAGTAAGAAAGCTATTTTCGAGATTTATATGATCTAGAATGTGTTGTCTTACATGCCTAAGAAAGTATTTATGTGCTATGTGTGTACCATGTATGTATATGTGTTTTAATGATAAATACCATGCAGGATGCTGACTTATGAGTACATTCCTCTTGACCATAACGGTGCATGAAGTGTCTCGCTGATGGGTGCTATCAGTATGGTGAAGGAGCACAACACAAATGAAGGAAGGCTAAAGACAAACACTTATTAAGAGCCAAATTAAAATTTACTGATTTTTACACTTTAATACCGGGGTTGAACCCTTTTTGTTTTTTTAATTTCTTTATTAATCTACAAAACATTCCTCTAAGAAAGACACGTTAGTCTCCAGCTGTCGGCACATCGCCAGCAATCGACAGCAATCGACAGCAAACAGTGAATAGTATGAAATCCTACCTGTAGCTGAGAATACATTCCCTGCCTGAGGTGCCTACCTTTTCGAGTGTTTTATAGTGTTATACTCCAAACCATTCCAGTACCACCCGGTGCATGCTGTTGTACTCCTAATGCACTCAATGCATGGAGAATAATAACCTGTCTTAAGTCTGTGTTGACCTGTTTCTTTGGAGACAAAAACAAGAAAGCAACAGGTGTAGTATTACCAGTGAGGAACACCAAAACATTCTGTCGTGGATTCAGTGCTGCAGTGTACTCAGAACGTTCTCTGTTTTTCAACTGAAGGTTATGAAAAGCCTTGGAGCCTTAACAGCATGTCTGGCATGAGCGGGGATGCCTCTGGAGTGTCCTCAGTGTCCGCCCTGCCGTGCAGCCCACCCTGTCTAATGCAGCACTCACATTCTCCCATCCCATCCATTATGTAGCATGGTTGAGTAGCAGACACAATGCCATTGGAAGGCCAGTCCACACTCCTCCTTCTTATCTTTCCTGTCAGATTTTGCTTTTTTTTTTTTTTTTACACTTGCCTTCGCTCCTGCTTTTTTTCATTTTTATTTCCTTATTTTTCTGGAAAACTGTATCTTAACTGTGCTTATACTCAAGCTTCCCAAGTGTTCTCCTTGGGTGTGTCATCATATCCTAGACTAGAAAACATTGGCACATGCCACTCTGCATGGGTCACCTCAGTTGCAGACAAAGCACTGTTCTACTTCTACCACAGGCTAACCCCACTCTTTTCCTGTGTTTACATCATTGCCTGTTGCTCTGTTGCTTTTGATCTCGCATAATTTTCTGCCAATAACTTTTATCTCATCTGCTTTTTACAATTTTGTGAAAGAAATTTTCATAAGATGTAACCCCTGCTAATAATATGCTGGACATTACCAATACATGGCTTTTAAACATATCCAAAAGGTATCATTGCCAGCTGTTAAAGGAACTCCTCTTAAGTGCTTTGTACGTTGCAAAGTAGAGACGTTATCACTCTGAAAGTGCAATCCAGACGAGACTTAATGTTATCTGAGTGGCCATCAGAAAAAAAAAAAACTTGAACATAATGTTCATGATGTCCAATGCAATATGGAGATGATGACAATTCCTATGATACTAGTGATGAATACATCTAATGTCAACAGAACTAAAATTGTTTGTTCATTTGCATGAACTGCATGAGAAATTATGTTCAACAAGAAGCTAACTGTATCGCAGTACCTGTAAGAAAAAAAAAAAGTTTTTCTTTCAAAAAGCTTCTAAAGCTTTGTCATTTTTTATGCATTTTGAGACAGCTTTACAAGAGACTCAGTCATAGCAGAGATTTTTATGTAGCCGCCATTCTTTGCCTTTCCCCAAATTCATATATTTATTTTCTTGTATTTATTTGACTGGGGCCTCCAACTAAAATAGTGTGATTTAACTTGAACAATCTGTCATAAAGCCAACTAATGCTGTTATGAGCATAAATAGTTTTTATACAAATATATTTACTGGTAGTTATACGTTTTTAAATAGCATCGGTAATCTGCAGTAACTTCTATTACTGCTGTGATGCCTAAATTAAGGCAGGACTCATGAATTATAAAAACAATGGTGCCTTCATACCTGGTGAGGCAAAGTAAAAGTGAGTAATAAATTGACCTGATATTACATAAGTGCTCCCAGTGTAGCATCAATACACTTTATACCATGCTCATAACAGTGTAACGAAAGCTTTATTTTATACAGTGCACCTTGTACCTTTTGCACCACCCTCGTACCCTTAATCACAGTAAAAACGCCCTCTTGGTTATTATTGTTACGCCATCAAACATATACTAGGGTTGAACCTTTAGAGGGATACATAGCACCAAGCAGGAAAAAAAATACTGACTTTATAATCCCCATCTCAACGTTTTGTATGATAAAGCACAAAATATTATTAAAGGGGACCAGGCAACTCTACAGAGCCAAAATATAATGAGTTATGATCAGCCAGAGATGTCACGATGGCTCCTGCAGTATGTACGTCTATTGATTTAAAACATCAATACTGTTACTGTTAGATGTATTGATCATGTCCCAATAATTATGCACAATTCTTTCAGGGCACTTTAACAAATTTTATGTTGACCAATCAGAAATGTTAATTTCTAGAAGAAGATAGAAGTATAGCAACTCATCTAAGTTTTGTTTTTATTCTGAATGAGCAGAGTTTTACATTTCGAGTCATGTCTCTTGTGGTAATTAATGGACGTTATATATTTCAACAACAAAAAAAAAAAATACTTGTGAAGATTTGATGTAAAGAGATGCAGCTGAATTATATGCTCGTGCAATTCAAGGGGGAAAAAAGTACAATACGAGACAGTATGGGATGTGGGTCTACTTGGGGAAAGGTAAATGCATGTATTTTACATTTATGCAACAGAAAAGTATTCAAATAAAATATGTAAATATAAGTCCTTGCATGAAATAAATTTTATACACAACGAGCGTTTAGACTCCGTTTTTATTCAACAGCACATGCATACATACATCCTTCCTTTCCCACTAGCTTACAGCTAGTGCTTTCAACTGCTGTTTGACCCTCTGTCTACATGTGTCCGGGTCAAAAAGAGCATAAAAAACGAGGTGACTGTGAGAGCATGACGCAAAGTAGACACACGCATGACAATGACCGATACTACTGTAACATCAACCTGTAAAACGCAGCATGATTGGGGCATGTTTATTAACCGACTCAAGAGTCCAACCTCTGCACACAGACAGTACATCGTTGTCTGATGCCTTGGCTAAGCATGGGAAATACATGGTTAAACCTGTGGTTTACCATGAGGAACTAACGGAGCACATTTTCTTTACTCTCCAAGTGTCATTTCTCACCTCTCCCCGCACCTCCAGAGGTATCCATTATCGCCATCATTTCCACCATTATACATAATTTGTGTAATAATTTATTTTTGTTATTGTTTTTTTATATGTTTATAGAGACCCAGCGACAGCACCGGAGCAGACAACCAACAGAGTCAGTTTGTGTTATGAACCATGGTGTACCAACCACTATGTGTATGACCCATAAAGGCCCATCACCCACCTGATAGTCCTGTAGCATTGTTGTGTGTATTACTTAGTATTTTTAAATGGGTGTGACAGTGACAACCTGTGCATCACAAACTCAGCATAGATGTAGCACTGAGGAAGTTTTGTTGTCAAGCCTTATGTAGCTCAGTATCTGTGACTGGTTACTGTGTTGTAATTTGTGTGCCTATTTTTGGTGTGTGCCAGTGCTGTAAATACGCTTTTATGTGTGCTGAAGTTGTGTGTACCAATGTTTTTGAATGATCATCAAATATTCGTGTGCTTCTTCTGTTGAAAGAAAAAAAAAATGTTGCTCCGATTTCACCCCAGCCCCGCTCCAGCAAAAACCTGTCACTTGTCTCATGTCAGCCAGACTAAACAGTTGAAAACAAATCATTAACTTTGCACTGTCATGGTCACATTTTTGTAGACTTTTGCACTGTTTTGCACCAGTGAACTTTTAACATTCTTTTGATATGTTTTCAGGCATCAAAGAGATAACATCCACAAAAAAAAAGGTCATACTTACAGAAACACCACTCTTACCTCGTATTAATGAGGCATTAAAATGGTAAAGTGTGCCGTTAGGTGAATAATTTAGTTGGGGAAGAAAATCTTCTAAAGTTTTATTCAGGAAGGAATAATAGATACTGAATATTAATTGAATGTTAATATATCTTCATATGTAGCTACACTGATTAACAAAGAATATATATGAAACATATGAAACACATTAACTCATATTACAGCTCACACACTGATAATTATTCTGTAGTATATTTTAATTGACAATCATGTAGAATTGGATTATTCTTCTTTTTTCTGCACAAATTGGTATATTAGTATGTAATACTAACAAATGCCAAAACATTATTCACATCATACCGGACAAGTGCCTCTGTTATGCAATTTTTTTATTTTAGATTAACCATCAGTCACCAGCCATTGAAAACAATCATCAGTTCAATACTCAAATGGCACACAGATACAACAAGGACCCCTGTAGGGATCAGCTTCTAAAGACAAGCAATGAGCGAACCTAATTAAAAACGTAATGGAGAGCCTTTGAGCACAAAGTACAGCTTAATTGTTTGCGTGGAAAAGTTAGTGAAAAGGGACCAACTTTTTACCAAACAACTGCAAACACACTGCCAACAACCTACTGAGATCTGTGTGCAGTCAGGTACAGCAGGTCTGAATCTGCCATTAGAGCTGATGGGGGGGGGGACAGTGTGCTGGTCTTTGTCCGATACAGAATTTAAAAAAAACAAACAGCTGTTAATCATTAAACAGAATCAAAAACACAACCAAGAGGCAACTAATGTGTGCCGTTAAGTGAGACTTCAGAGTGTGTGTTTTGAACACTGTATTTTGTGGTTAGTTATCTCGATAAGGTGTTCGGTGATCGTTTTGATTGGTTTGTTGTTTCGGGATTTTTTTGTGTCTTTTTGACCAATACAGTTCAGGCTTGTACAATAAATAGTGATAAATAAAAAAAACACAGAAATTATCATTTTTCAATGAGTGTTGATTTATTTTTTCAAACTAATCCAGGTAAAAGGACATTAATTTAACTTTCATTAATGCATAGTTTCAGTGATACAGATGTCTTTTTTTTTTTATATTTAGTTTGCATAAACCGTCAGCATAAAATGAAAACCTTCAAAATAAAAAAGTAAATAAATTGCAAAGATATGATCCGTGAGCCATTCTTAGCCCTGCCATTGCCCTTGACCACAGTACTGGCTTCAGATCTGCAGCTGGTCCCCGTTGCTGCACTGCGGGCGTCTACAGCTTATAAATATGTAAGTTGGGTCAAATGCAGCGGACAAATTTTCCCCAAGAGGGATTAAAGCAGTATACAGTATGGAAGCTGCAAATGAGACAAACAGAGCATCAAAGAATATGACAGAATGACAAGATTATAAATAAGTGATGGACAGTTGCCAAAGAAGAAAATACTGTACTGTATGTATAAGAGGTAAATCACAGAGATTCTCAGAATGATGTGCAGAGATTGACTGCCTCCTGACACTCAAGATCACAGCAATAAAACTGCTGACATGGGAAGATGGAGCTATAGCACCAGTCTCGCCCATCCCTCACACGATCCATAACAGCTTCATTCAGGAAGACAAACACAGCAGGTGGACCAAGAGCCATAGGCACGGCCATGTCCTGCAAAACCATCGGCCCCTATGGCGTCCATCAAAGTGATGGGCTGGTCGGAGAAATTATGGCCTCTGTCCACATGTGACATAACTCAGCCTCTGTACAACCACACAACAGTATTTATGACGACTGCGGTTGAAGTCTGACCTTTTCAAGAAGCTTAGGGACCTTATTAGAAGGTGAAAGTTAATGTATATTCAAAAGGCACTTACAATAATCGTATGTGAGCACCAATAAGCCCCCAAATCAGAAACATGTTAATTCACAAATTCATTCTGTTTTCTAGTCTCTGATTGCCTCATGCTGAATAAATGTCCCTGCTCCGATGTTACCGAAGTGGAGCCAGTGCAGAGTTTTGTCTCGAGTCAGGCATCGTAGCGCACACTGCCATAGAGTGTCCTGCTCCGCAGCCAATCAGAAGAGGTCTGAGACCAGAAACGAGCTGTGGCTGACGGACGTCGGTCTGTGAACCGTTTCCACACATTCCGTGTTCGTTCCAGCCCCAGGAGAGGAGGCGCCCCCCTGAAAAGGAGAGGGGTTATGGGTCAGTGGAGCTGACAGGAGAGAGAGGGGGGGGGGGGTCTGCAGCACTGTAGCACTTAGGATAAAATTAGCAGCCAGGAGAAAAACAAAAAGTCTGGAAAGAAAAAAGAAACCCACAGAAAGCATGCGATCACACACAAACACACACACACAGCCTCTCTGTTCCCAACACTGACACTCAGTAATAAAGCCTCCCTGCTCTTCACAGCTGGTGAGGTGTTGGTGGGTGTGGTCAGGTCTGCATCACTGAGGAGACACGTGCCATGGCAACACAGTTACCTAATAGGCTCCATTGCCATGGCAACAGAAGCGAGCTTGCTTTCTCAAGGGTAACACATCTTCAAGCTTTCCCCATCCCTGCAGTTGTGTGTCTTTCATGCCGTCTTTTCATTTATTTCATCGTGCTGTTCCTTTGTCTTTCTGCGTTTCTAGCTCGTCCCTGAAAATCGGCGGCATCAAAGATTTGGATTCGCCAAGTGACACATATGCTTTCGCCATTTAACAGACCAAGATATCATGCCAGCAGCTTATGTCAGTGTGACATTATGCCAAACACGGATTATGCATTACAAACACACACGTAGCCCTTTTAGTCTTTAAGATACTGCATGTATTTATAACTTCCATCTTTGCTTAAGGTTATCCAGTAAACGTCCTGGTTCTCATTTATTAGTGAGCTTAATGTGTTGAAGCATTTTGTTCTTTGGGGAAAAAGCCTTTTTTTGGTGCTGTGCTTAATTCATGGACTCACTGACTGGAGTACAGCACATCAGTGTTTCCATGGCAACAAAGTGCCTGCACAATATTCTGCACAACAAAAGGATTAAAAAAATCAAGACACTCAAACCAAAAGCCATTTCCTTGTAAACAAACCCTGTCGTTTGGTTTTACATTTAACATTTTAAAACCTCACACCTAATTAACAACACCACAGCGACACAATCTGTTTTTTTTTTTTAGCGTGACTAACATCATACTACAGGTACAAGTTAAAACAGGATCTGATCTAAGGTGTTTGTCCTAAGTTCCTGTTTAGATCGAAAATGTTCACATTAACAAAAATCTTTCCCCAGATTGGATGAGCTGTGCCCACAGCGTCTTTGGCCTATCTCCCACCTCTGACCACCGATGATGAATTTCATACATGAGGAACACTTCCTCAGGTGCAAATGGGCAAGGGCTGAACAGGCAACAGATATCATGAGCAGCATGCAATGCTCTCCGTTTCTTTCCGCCTGACCTACTTCAGCACCAGAAATAGCAGCACTCAGGTCTCTGCTTCCAATCCTGTTTTGCTATTTCATTGCTCCTGCCACCACGCTCGAGACAGGAGGAGGAAAAGAGGAGAGCATGGCACAGGAGCGAGGTGCACAAGGTTCACATGAGCTCTCACTTTACTTGCTTCTGCTTTCTCGTCGCATAACTGAACTTCTGAAAGCACAGAGCAGTGCTTTGTGAGAACTGTCATTATGACGGACAGCCGGCGTTAACAATTTCCTAATTATAATGCTATATTCAGTTAACTGTTCAAATTGGTCAGAACACCAAAAGTGGACGTCCATTTGCCATTTACCAGCGATATCCAGCCTTCCCGCTCTAATGGAACCCTGTGCTCGAGTTTCAACGTTCATCTGCGGTATTTATATTCATGTTGATGTACAAAAACTTTGTCAGTGTTCAAATTTTTACGTGTTAAGATTTTACTTCCAAAATGTTTCATAGTGCAAGTCTGTGACTATAGTATGGGAACGCCTGAAAAAAAAAATAGAAGCATCATTTGATCTCTTTGTAAACGTGATGAGGAATCACAAACTATAGATTGCCATGTCTATGTTCTGTTCTTATGTGGATAAAGGGAGACGGCTTTCCAAACACTCTGGAACTGGAAAAACATGCCTGCAAATGTGAGTGTGGTTAATTCAGCTCTTTTACAGGCCTGTTCTGGTAATTGCTTCTGTCAATGATACCCATCTATCCATGCTGTAATTACTTCCTGATGCAAAGGCCACAGAGCAATGAGCTGACCCCAGAAATCCTCTACAGCATTACCAAAAGGATTAATATTTCACACTGATGTTTAACTGTAATATATTAGACAGTTCCCTTACTCACTCTCTGGTACAGAGAGGAGGATGACTTGAATTAGTTCAGCCTTACCTATGTGTATTCCCTGTTCCTTTATGTAGTAAGAGACAGAGTCATGTTAGGCCAAAAGTGGAGTCTCTTGTTTCAGCCAGTTGCACTTACTGAAAACCGATAAGTTTAGATTTCTGCTTAATTTCTTTGAAACCTCTCTTCCTAGATCTACTTTTCAGTGCAGTTGTGTATTATGTTGTCAGATGTTTTGCTTATCTTTATCTATTTTCCCGCAATAGGGCAGTTTTTGAATACAAGAAGAAACTTATAAGAAAATACACTCACCTACAATTGCAAGGTTATGTTCAGATCCACATGCAATCTGTGGAGAAAAATATTTGAAAAGGGATTAAAATGCATGTTGAAAGCAAGCAGCCAATTTAAAGACTGTAATATTCAAGAATTGTTATGCTGGCATGGATACTGAGATACTTTGTAACCAAACCTGCTCTGAAACTGAAATAAAATGCCATATGTCAAGATGTAGTCATCCAATTTATTCAAAACTACATACAACTTACTGCACCCAGTGCACAGTAAATACATTAGATGCCTTCTCCCCTCGCTACCAGTGCATCATCAGAGAGCAGAGCAGAAAACTGCAACAGAAAAGCCAGCTCATTCATAAAAAGGTAGAACATACTGCTGGGCTGTCCGGAGGACTTAATGTAACTGTCTCAGGATGGCTGTGTGTGCTTGCCTTTGCGGAAAAAAGTCCATTAAATTGTAAAAGGTTTTAGTCAGCAGTCTTTCCCTTTTCGTGACTGCTACAGGAACTGAGGGGACACATTTAAAATTCTGATCCTGAAATATACAACAAGAGTAACATGAGACAGAGCTCTCTAGATGGATAAAGCTGTATTACTAGCAATAAAAGTCATTGAATTGTGTCTATATATCCTCGTTAATACAGATTGAACTGCAGTGTTTTTATTAAATCATACAGCTGTGGCAAACCATGAATAGAAACACATCCATTGATTCCTGAACCACTGACAGGTTATAATTTGTTACTCCATAATGTTCATAGGCCTCATAAAAGGGTGACAGTTGACTAAATATTGACTCTGTGGGTATGTAGCATGTTAGGAAGACTAACATGGTAGGGTGTGCTGAGAGATTCATAGTCCACTCAACTAATCCATCTTGCCTTTAGCTTTACACACTCAAGGTGACTACGCCTTGACATACGCAAGCTCTGCTGCAATGATCTGTGCACAGTGGAAGAATGATCCAGAGCTTGCCCTTGGACATCCCTGACATCCACTTTATTGGCAACGATCTCCAGTCATACAGCTGCCATTTAGACTACAGGTTAACTGCTGCAATCCTGAGATGCTCACATATAATTGCCCTTATGGGAAAAAAGAGCTCTGCCTTCGCTGATTTTAAGTGGTCCTCTGGGAATGTGTGTGTGCCCTACACACACTAGAGCTTGCACCACGACACATAGTGATGCAAATCTTAAGGAACCCACTCTTAGTGGGCCTGGTTCTCATTCAGTGGGTCTGTGTTGCAGCTGATGCAAAACAACACTCAGCAACCCTCAACTGTCTGCTGCCCCCTGCTGGACTGACAGACAATTTCTGCTAAAACACGAGAGCAACAGTCAAAACAATAACAATCAACAGAGTATCATTAATACCCGTAACACTGCATCTTAAGTGCACCACCTGTATAAATGTTTGTCATATGCCCGTCGTCAAGTCTTACCTGCGTCGCTCCACAGAGGACTTCAACCTCCGCAGGGAGGCAAGCCTCCTGGTTCCCAGCTTCTGCTGAAGGCCCCACTGATGGCCGCTCTGGGTTCTGACTGGTTGATGCTAGTCGGCCCAGCTGTCCATAATCTCCTCTGCCCCATGTGAACACTCTCCCAGTCTCTGAAATGGATGATAACTTTGTTTAGATATGACAACAGTCCTGTTAAATCCTTGACTGACATTATATGCGTCATTATGTTTAACCTGTTTGAGCAACAGTGTGTGTCCAGCCGCTCCACACGTGAATAACTTTCTCCCCACCCAGGAGTGAGCGCTTCACAAGAGAGGGAGAGGACAGGAAGGGCTCTGTGGTGGTCAGCTGGCCGTGCTTGTTGCTTCCCCACAGAAACAAATCACCGTCTCCTGCACACACGACAGGAGCGACATTACTCTTCATCCGGCAGAGGCAGCAACAGAAAGAGCAGAGCAGTAATTGAGTGGAGCTGGTCAACTAATTACAGGACAGATGGGAGGCCAGACATGATGTATGAACATGAAGTGGAAGACAACTCACTAGTACAACCTGAAAGTGAAAATGCTCTCTGGGAAGAGAGGAGCAGCACAAATGCATTACATATCTGCTTTTGGATTATAGCCTCTCTTATGTTTGCCTGCTGCTCTTCAAGCCATTCAGTGAAATTATACACTTCAGAAGCATCACTGAAAAATGGGGACTGGAGCACAGTAGTGGTGAAACATCGGTATGTTTTTACTGGCTGCAAATCAATCTGTGTACTCCGGTTTCTTTTTGACCCTTGGAAGTCTCCGGTCTTCAGTGTGAGAAGAATTTGGTTCAGCTGCATGCTGCTGGAAGATGTGCGGAAAATGTTCCAGCCCTGTTTATTTTGGAGGGCACTCTGGCCAGTTTGAAAGTCAATACCTATTATTTCTGGTGCAAATATCTTGCTGGAATGCTGACATTCAAAATCACAATAAAAGCACCTTGAACTGCTAAATTAACTGCCTTGTTTGTTTCCTCTCTTAATCTCAATCTTCTGCAAACACCTTCAACATGTCCTTATACTTTCAAGTATAAATAAATGAAATATATATAGTAGTAACACAAACCAAGGGTTGTAGTGAGGCCACTGGAATTAGAGAGTAGGAAAAATGTGTTGCACACTCTGGCTCCATGTGTATTTCTTTTTCATTTAATTTTATGACATTTCAGAGAGCCTGTGTCATACCTGTAAGGCAGACACAGTGTGCTGAGCCTGCAGTTACCATGCGTGAAGTCTTCTGATCCAGACCTGCAGCATGAGAACAAGTATCTGGTCACATTTATCAATCATCAGAAGCACTGTTTAACTACTTCTATTCAGTTCAGTGTTTCACTAACCTGGTACCAAAGAGGGCACCATAGAGCCGAGGTGTGATGGGACAGGGCGTGGACTGAGTGCTCTCTTAGCGTGCCTGAAAAGACCACTTCCCCACTGATATACACAGCCTGAGTCTTAAGGCAGAAGAGAAAATTAGGATGTATGGATTTACTACTAAATGAAAACACAGTGAGGAGGTTTTTGGTGCAAACTTACCAGTAACAGCGAGTGAATGTCTGAGTCCTGCTGCGACACTCACCACGGGCTCCCTCAGACTCTGAGAACAAACAGCACATTGACACTGAGGGTCTAAGGGCAGCGGCTGCTGAATGTTACATACAGATTGTAAAGCCACCTGAATATATACACATATATGTATATATACACACATATACATTTATATATAGAAATAAAACATGATTTGACTTGACATCTGCTTCAGAGAAACTGATGAGGTGAAGTTGTTTTGTGACAGTTTTGATCACTCATTAGATGAAGGTATGACAAATGTTACAGTGGCTATATAGTGTCCCTTAAAGTAAGTAAAACGTACTTCACCCGTGTGCTCACCTTCACAACCAGTGGATCTGCAGAGTGTGTGACTGTCTGTCCAACACCAAGTTGTCCAAATGCATTGGAGCCGCATGCCAGTACTCCACCACAATCTGTAAGTGTGACATAAAAAGAAAAGAAACATAATAAAATATTCAACATTTGGATGGGTGAAAGGTACATCCCACTCTTAACATTAAAATGCAATGAATTCTGGTCCCTCATGAAAAGTCT